CTAGAGGGCTGATTTTGAAACTGTTATAATGAAAGATGGTATTTGAAAACTTTTGATGAGGGAAATTGCCACCGTATTTACATTTTGAAAAGTGTTTCCTTATTTACGCACTATTGACTTCCTATTGAGACTCAAAATTTTAAGTACAACTGGTAAAGAATTCAATGGATCAAATTCAGTAAATCTGAAGTCACTGGAATAAAGGCCCCTAAGAAGAAATGTGTCAATTTTAAAGGTCTTTCCTAACTGAAGACCATTTTGTGATAGAGCCAAAGGTTAATAAAATCAGTAGTGAATGTAGCAATTTTACAGATAAGCTATTCACAAGAAGTGTAGTTACTTGAATAAAAAGCTAATTCAGTTCTAAAATGCCACATGCAGTAGCAGTGAATAGGCGCTTTTAGGTGCTTTCTGGAGGAGGATAAAATACAGAATCACGGCACTCTTCTCTTCCAGCGTCCCTGGCTGCCTGTAAATTGCTGTGAATGGGGCTGTGGGCTGACAGGCTCTATTAAGACAAACTGCCTTTCTCATCGGAGAGATAAAATAAATCAGGTGTTTAGTCAAATTAAAATACTTCAGCTGGAGCAGGCCCTGGGGAGCACTGATCCACCTGACTAATCTGAGAGAAACTCAAGACAGATGTGGTTTGGGGATAAAGATGACCCCATGGAACACAACAACAACAACAACAACAAAGAATAAGAAGGGGAAAAAAACTGCTGCACTGTCTTTGGAGCTGGAGAATAGACACAGTTTACAGTGGAGAGTGTCAGATGCACACTGTGTGTGATATTGGATAAAAGCAGGCACGCTGACTTGCAGAGAGGCTGTGTGCAGAAGCTTTTTTGCTGGCTCCCTTTTTTGTGGTTTATGAAACTACCACTGTTTTTGTTTGGGAGGCAGAAGAGGCTATTTTCTGGCAATGCATTTTAGAGAATCATTTTAAGATAGTTTGAAAGATGTGAAACAGATGATGTTGGGCAGCTACTGATGACCTCTGTTGGGCTGGGCAGATCCTTACAATCTGATCTACTTTTTCTCCAAGTTAATTTTATCAAACCTCAAAATATAATTTAAGACAAGATTTTCTACATAGAGTTAAGTTACCTCATAAAAGCATTCTGTATGGTCCTTTCCTTTCCTTAACATCAACTGAGCGTATTTCATTTGCCCCACCACATCCCGAAGGTGCCCTCTTTCAGCAACTTTAGCAGTTGTAGTTCCTTTGTCATGGCAAAGTTTCATGTTTAATTAAACTTTCTTTTTTTTCTTTTTACATTAAATAGCTTGTGTTTGAAGAGTGGTTGGTCAGTGTGACTCAAACTTGAAGTTATTTTCATTACAACAGCAGAAGCACTAGCTATTCACTAAAACAAAAATCCAACCCAACGGGTTTTAAATGCCTGGCTTTAAACAGTATATCTGGACAAATACAATGCGTACAGAACAGAAAAATGACCACACACAAATACAAATTTGTCCACACATCTAGAGAACGTAAGGTATTTTATGGTATAAATTAATGTCTCCTTAATTTGACCCCAACAGGCTACGTGACTTTATATATAATTCACCCATTCAGGGGAATTTTAGATTTGTTACACTACTCATTTCATTCCAACCTCACTTGTTATGCAGTTCATATTTATCCAAAATATATATGTGCTCCTCAAGTTTAAGGAAGAGAGAGTGATAGCCTATATGAGTGCCTAAATCCTTAACTTAAAAATATTGATCACTGGATTGTTTTCTTCTTAAACATGTATCTTTTCTGTCTTAGGAAAAAACTTAGATATTATTGAATGTTTACAGTTAAACAATTTCAGTATCATGATGACTTTAAAAAAGATTCAGTTAAATGGTTTTATTCTATAAATTCAGATATTTTTATATATATCTATTAGAATTGGAAAAACAGTACATATATAGATTTCTTGACTTCACCTTAAGCAGAAGAGGCTAAGAAGTCATTTATGTGTTATCCACAGCTTCTATGATTCCTATGCAAAAGAGAAAGGGGAATAAATGGAAGATTGTTGAAAAGACTTTGTTCAACCTGGGAAAAGAGAAAAATGTTCAGTCCTCACTGGAGAATCTAAATACCAGATCCAATTCTTGTATTGGTTCTTGCCCCAAATTCCCTGTGAATGCTCTTCTTTATTAACAAAGAATTACAGTGCAGTAACTTTCCCAGTATTCAATAAGCCTTGTCATAACTGATTTCATATAGATAGGTATAACAAGAAAATTATACATAGTTCAGAATATTGCACAAAATATACGTAATTAAATGTACGTTTATCCCGTGCGTCTATTCTCATACCTTCCAATTCATTCTCCACACTGCATCCAGAAGGATTACATCACCTCTCCCCCTCACTTAAAATATCTTAGTGATTTTGAATTATTCTTAGAATAAAGATCATCAAACATGTCTATAAGAGGCTGAATGGTATGACCTTTTCCCACCCATCTAGCCTCATCTGGCATCATACTTATTTTCCTTGATCAAGTTTCACTGCATTCTTGAAACATACCCAAAACCCTCCCCACCACAGGTCCTTTGCACATGCTGTTTCTTCCTTCTGGGAGACTCCTTGGCTGCTACCCCCAGCCTTTTGCCAAGTTAACTCCTGTTCATCCTACTGTTGATTTGTTACTTTTTCAAGGATACCTTTCCTGACCTCGGCCCCCCAACTCAGTTAAACCTCCCCGCAAATATTTGTCTTGTTTGCAATTCTTATCTGTTGTACTTTACATTTGTGTATGTGACAACTTGATTAATGTGTCTCCTTACACTTTGGACTATAAACTGAATGAGAGTAGGGGCTGAGTCTGCTTTTACTTGCCATTTTATCATTAACTGTTAATATAGTAGCTGGTATATTGTTGCCAAGGAGCCCTGGTGGTGCAGTGGTTAAGCAGCTCAGTGGCTAACTGAAACGTTGGCAGTTCAAACCTACCCAGCGGCTCTGCAGGAGAAAAACCTGGCAATCTGGTCCCATAAAGATTATAGAGTAGAAAACGCTATGGGGAAGTTCTGCTCTGTCACATGGGGTCCTATGAGTCAAAAATTGACTTGACGGCACCCAACAACAGTAACAGTATTGTTGCCACTGAAGAAATATTTATTGAATTAAGAATGAGTGAAATAAGTAAATAAACTTAATAGTTTTCTTGTTTTGTGTCATCTCATTCCTGTAATATTGACATATACATTAGTTGAGTTTTCCTGTTTTTGAAAAGATTTTATGATTCCCTTCAGGGACCTGCTTTTGCGTTGTACTACACTTCCAGATTGAGAAGTTCTTCCTTCTACCTAGCTGAAATTCCTATTGCTGAAATTAAGACCTATTTTCTCTTAATAAATTCCAATATCTAGAAAGAACAGCCGATCACTAACCTTCATACAGTATTTGTTCCCTTATCAGTAGAACAAATTTTTCTAACATTATTTCACTATCTTTCTTTTTCTTCTAATTGTAATTTCAGGCCATCTTTCAGCTCAGTGAATCTTTAAGAGATATTGATAGGTTTTTTTGTTTGTTTTGTTTTTTAAACTTGAGTTGACATTAAGAATCCCAAGGTAATTTTAAATGTGGTAGCTTCTCTGCTGACATCAGTCTTAATTTGTGGGACTCATATACTAACTACCAAGTATCCTCTGAAGGCTCCTTTTCTCCATGGGGCCACTCAGAAACAAGGGCCACTCTTAATGGTTTTTAGTTTCTCCAATTGTCCTGGGGCTTTCTTAGCAGGAATGAGTGTTTTTTTCATAGGAGGTTGGAAGTCTCCCCTTCCACACACACAAAAATCGGCAATCTTTGTCCCCTTTGACAGCTGGTGGCATCTTTCTGAAAAGCTTTCAAATCATAGATCATTTCCTCATATTGAAACCTGTGTGGCTCAAATACAGTGGGTTGAAATTTTTGTCTTATGCTGAGGTAAAACGCTCTAATTTAGATTCACAAAAGGATTCTGTACCCTTTACTTAGGAGAGCTGTGCAATTTGCCCATAAAAAGACTGTTCAGCACCATTAGTGCATACCATAAGTGTTCAGCAGCATCATATTCATTAAACAGCATATCCTTATGCATAACCTTTTCAACCTCGAATGTGTTTTTTCCCTTTGAAGAATGACAAATGAGAAAGGGGTGAAGGAGCCCCCCAAGCAACATTGTTGCTTTTAAGGATGAACTTGGAAGCTTTACCATGATCTCCTCACGGCCATGGGGGTGGGGGCGGCTAAAAATGCAGATTCAATCCTTTCTAACCTGAGGCAATTTTGATTCTCTCTCTAGAACTTGTGCCATGGCCAAGAGATTGACCCCTGTCTTCTGAGGTTCAGAGACAGATATTTGCACAGTAGAAAAATTTTGTTAGGGCAGTAACCAAAAACTTCCTTAAGTAACATTTATTAAGCACCTGCTATGTCTTGGAGGAGGACTCCTGGTGGTGTGGTGGTTAAGCACTCGGCTGTGAACCAAAAGGTCTGCCTTCCAACCCACCAGTCTGTGAAAGAAGATGTGACCGTCTGCTTCTGTAAAGATTTACAGTCTTGGAAACTATTGGGCAGTTCTACTCTGTCCCACTAGCTATGAGTCGAAATCTACTTGTCAGCAGTGGATTTTTTTTTTTTTAATGTCTCGGATACTGTATTAATCACTGAGGATAGAAGTGATTAGAATATTAATATAATCCATAGTACTATCAGACAGATTTCCTTTGGAGGAAGAGGAGAGAGAATGTGTTAAAGAGAGAGAATGGGACAGGTCTGTTTTTTTGTTATTGTTCTTGGCAGGGATTGTGAATAGCCCTAGCATTCATTCCGTTACTATAACTACCCTGTGGTGTTCCTACACTCACAATGGCTTCCCGTTGTTGTCACAGGTCTTTTGGTATCTTAGGGTAGGCCCTTTCTAAATTCTGCCTCTCTTTCTCCAGTTCATTCTGACTTTCCTCAAACTTGTGAGATATCTTCTTGCTTCCATTTTAGGTACACCTGAGAGCCTGGCAGAAAAAGAACGGCAGCTCTCCACCATGATTACCCAGCTGATCAGTTTACGGGAGCAGCTCCTGGCAGCCCATGATGAACAGAAAAAACTGGCAGCCTCACAAATTGAGAAACAACGGCAGCAAATGGACCTTGCTCGCCAACAGCAGGAACAGGTGAGCCCTGCAAAAGGAGCTGATGAACTGGAGATGTGCGATGTGCCAAGCTCAGCGAGTAATCACATTGATTGGCTTATTTGTCATAAGCTTTCCTAAAAAAAAAAAGGAAAGAAGCCTTTTGGAAATCTAAGGTTCCCAACGATACTGACGGGATATGTGGAGAACAAAGGAAAGCATCATAACAACCAGACAGTACTGAAATGATACATTGTTTAAGAACATTTGGATCAGGGATACTTATTCACATAGGCATCAGATGCAGTCCCAGTGTAGTTTAACCATGAGTAAGTCACTTCTTCCTGGGCCTTACTCTCCTCATCCAGAGGAGGAGGAAGGAAAGTCTGCATAGGCTTTACTTTCCTCATCTAGAAAAACTGTGGAAGATCTTTCAGCTCTGTAGTTCAATGATTTTCTCTAATTTTAAAGCTAGGGTGACCATACATTTCAGTTTTCCAAGAATAGCTCTGGTTTATGCCTGTTTTCCAGGGTAATTATTAATTACTCTCCCCTCCACCCACTGTTTCCACTTGAAAAAGTTGTCCTGGTTTGGATGATAAATTATATGGTCACTCTATTTATAGCACAGGTAAATCATTGAAAAACAAATTGGCACATGTCTCCTTTAAGAATTTGACTTGATTGACTTAGAAGTGAGCAAGAAGCATAGCAAAGTTTAAATGTATATCTTCTAAAAGTAAATCATTTTCCCAAACGTCCTTCTTGTCTCATAAGAGCACATTAATCTAACAACAGTGATCCCATAGGGTAGTCCTTGATGCTTTAGATCAGACAGACCCAAATTAATGTGCAGTTTTTAGGGATCTGACATTATTACTGGAATTATCTTTTCAGTTAAATGTATTTTATAGGGGTATATAGAGCAATATATGCTCTGTTGATTTTAATGAGTTGTGGTATTTTATATGCTTGAATATTTGCCCACATGTAGGAATATGGACTCAGCCCCTAATGGAAAATAACATAAAGGAACACTGTAAAAAATCAGAAGTTAGAATGTCATTTAGCCATCCAGAGATGACACAGTAATTAACTATTGACACTTGTGAATAAGCTAGCACAAATTAATCTTGACACATTTGCAGACGAGTGATATCTTACAGTGAACACTTTGTAATTATATTTCAAAATGAAAATTAAATGACACTTAAAACTAGGTTGTCATGCTCAATGAAGCGAGCATGTAGCTCAACCGATTGGCAAATAAAATTCAGGATTTGAGCCACATGGTGCTTATGTACCATACTTCACTGTGTCAAACCCATACATCTAGAGTGGATGATAGTAATTGCACTGTGGTGTTTTGGATGCATTTCTGTGCAGCACTTTATCATTTAGGAGGGACCATCAATATTAGATGCCTAGTGGTGTTTCACTGGTCTACTAAGAGGAAATAAATATTCAGAATCCAGCATCCATACCTACAGCTGCAGATTGAGTTGTCCATTTCTGATCTGAATGGTGACAGGCAGAGTGGGTCATTCCAACCTGATTAAATATTGTTTCTATTTTGCCTGTAAAGTTTTGGAGAGGAGTGATGCCATTTCTCAAACTATAACTATGGTAACCAAAAAAAAACCAAACCCATTGCCGTTGAGTCAATTCTGACTCATAGTGACCGTATAGGGTAGAGTAGAACTGCCCCACAGGGTTTCCAAGGAGCACTTGGTGGATTCAAACTGCCGAACTTTTGGTTAGCAGCCCTAGCTCTTAACCACTACACCGCTTGGGTTTCCGTAACTATGGTAAGGGCGGTTTTATCGTGGTTTCCAGTATGAGCCAGTTACCACCAGAAATCCATAAAGCAACATATGGGAGCAGACCATCATGCTGGCATTTTATGCTGAATGAAATGCATTTTGGATGGTTCCTTCTGCTCTGAACTCGAGCATCAAGAGGCTCAAGAAGTACAGTGGAGAGCTGAGCCCCACTCATTTCCGCTTTCAACATTGCCCACTCTAGATTATTGTCTTTTGGAAATAAGAAAAAATAGGAAGAAAAGACCATAATTCTTTCTGGTGGTGTACCACTATACCAAGTCCTTCTAAGTACTCTCTGGCCACTTTTCTCTCTGGCCTCCTAGCTTGGCAGTGAGTGTGTTCTCACTAAGGAGCACCCCCCAGGGCTTCAAGCTGTAGCAGCTCAGCTTTTGAGACAAGAAGTAGCCTAATGCCTTACTCATAATCATCATACTAAACACCGTTTTCCTAAGGAAGTTGTTTGCCCTCCTGAGAGGCATATTTAGCCTTCAATAGGGCTTGTTATGGTTAAGTAATTAATATTTCTTTTATAGACCAAATGACCTGCTAAGATGTTGAATTTGATTGTTGGGTGAAGCAAAGGAATATAAAACTTGCATGTAAAATTAAACTATACTGTAAAATTAAAGCATTCCCCTCAAAAGGGCAAATGGATGGATAAATGTTAAATTATAGTTTAGTTTGTTCTTAATAATACTTTATATATCACATACAGTATTATCAGCAAAAGCTAAAGATTTTTTACTTTTTGGTGTGTTTTCAGTACTTCTTTGACAATATTTGTAAGTGCATGAGTTCTGAAAATCTTTGCATCAGAAGAGGCTTCACCAAAGTAGACCATATTGTACAGTCAAAGACATTCTTTTCCTGTGTTTACTTACAGATTTTAATTTTAATATCCAAATTAAGGTCCTTAGGAAAATGTAGCCAGAATTTTCCTGTTTGTTCCCCAAGGATCAGATTCCCAAATTCTCATTCATTCCAGATGACCAATGCAGATACAGGTGAACTGCTCACAAATGTCATTCAATGGGTAGTTTTTACCTACAGATAAAGATTTAGGAGTAAGCAGAGAAATGGCACCTGGTTGAAAATGTTTCTTTTCTACAACTTTCTGAATCTGCCTTCCCATTTTATAGGAACTCTTTCCCATAAGGGTGCAGTAAAGACTTCTTGTAATACCAGGAGAGATACCTGAGGTAGTGGCAAAGGTATAGGCATTTCGTTTTAACTTAATGAAACTTTATTTCTGATAGATTGCAAGACAACAGCAGCAACTTCTGCAACAGCAGCACAAAATTAATCTCCTGCAGCAACAGATCCAGGTCAGTGTATTTTATTACTCTCATCTGATTATACTTAGATACTTTCCTCCTTGAAAATGGAATTCAAAATGCTGCCAATGAAGCTCTGTCTTATAAACAGCACCAGTTGGATGGTGTATGCAATTGTCTAAATGGAAATAGAAAACATAGACTAAGTAGAGGTCTAAGCATTCTCCTCCAATGCGTAAGCAGAATAAACTTTATCTTTTTTTCCTTCTGCCATTTGCTTAAAACAAGCTAATAGAAACCTAGTTGTTTCCAGGGTAGCATACAGATGCTGTTTTTATTGCCACAAACCACTTTTTGCTTTGTATTTTACCATCTAATAGGATTATGGGGAGAAGCTTACTTTTATTTAGGGCTGTTTTATTGGGCCAATTATGAGAAGAATTTTATGACCTAGAAAAAGGCTAGTAATCATTAACTTGCTCTTTAACAAACATTAACTGCATTCCTGCTGTGAGGTGTGCATTTTGCTAGGTGCTGAGGGCAATATAAAGATTAATGAATAGTAGTCTATCTTCAAGGAGCTTACAGTCTAGGTAGGAAGAAAAATATTTTAATGAATAATTTAACACAATTTATAGTCACTTTTTCTTGTGGTAGGGTAACAATATATAGATCACCATTACAGTGATCTGGGAAGGGTAGGCAATGGTATAATTTCTGTCATTTTTTTAGATACTTGATGGTTATTTCAACTAACAGCTCCTTGAGATAGGTAAGGTAAGTGGTTTCCATTTCTGAATGGGAACATAGGTGTGTGACTTCTAGAAATCCATAGAATAAGGAACTGGTTGATTGGTGATTAATCCTCAGGAATGCTCTACCCTACCGGAGGATCTTGTTTCTCTTGGTTGCTGTGGTTGTTTTCTAACCTGCTGGGACTTCTGATTCAATCTAGTTGGGCCAGCATATTGTGGATTATATTATTCTTTCTTGAGGTTAATATCAGATCTTCCTGCATTTTTTTTTTAAATCAGTAGCATAAAGTCATAGCTTACTCTAATCTTCTACCTCATTGATGAAAACCAGTGACTTTAACTTAAGTCCTTGCTTCATTTTGTTAAGCATACTTACTGTTCCAGGTAGTAGTCACTGCCTTTTAAATAATTGCCGATTTTTTGCCTGAAGAAGTAAGTGTACCTAATTTGGTATTTTGTCCAGCTGTCTCTTCACTAGGAGGTTTTAGCTGATGTTTTATTGGTTCTGATTCTGTATTCTATACCAAGTCTATATGCCTCAAAAGAAAAGTCCAAATATTGAGGAGATGGAATGTCTCTGAAATTTTTGACTGTCGGACTTTACAATTAAATCTTGGAATAATTACTCATCCAGATATCTCTTTTATGATTCACGCTGAGATCCTTAATTAAATAACTGTCCAGGTGTTCTCTTATTCTGCCCTTATTAGTATTTTCAGTGGGCCTCCTACTGCTGAGGTCAAGATTTTTAGCCCGTGGCTTCCTACATTTTTTTCTAGATCCCTCTTTAAGAACTTAGCAGGTGTTAAATAACCTGATTATTTAGTTTTGTTTCTCCTATTTGTAAAGCAGGGATAGAAGGAGTTCCCTGAGATGCTCCCGTATCAGTTGATTCTTATTAATGTTTTTACTACCTCTTTATTACTTTCTTCTTTATTTATTTCTAATATATTTCACTTCTCAGTCTAATGTTGGTTGTATTGACTAGCTATCTTAATTGATGTTTGCCTAGGGTACTGAGGAATTCAGATGAAAAGCAACCAAATCAGTTTAGAATATGTTTATGAAATATTACAAGTATTTATTGATTACATCTGATTTTATAGTTATAACTTGACTATATGAAATTATAGTTTTTTCAGGAAACTATAGAACATAATCTTAAAATAGTACTTCATTGTAATGTTCTTTTAAAAAGATAGGAACAATTTTTTTTCAAGTTTTCTAAAAGAAGTTTAATTATTTTTAAAATTCATGGATATTTGTCATTATTTAAAATTTTTTAAAAATGAAGCTATTCAGTACTTGAATTCAGCAGTATAAAATATAAAATAATGAGGGATTCAGCCTGTTGGAGTTAAGTTCATTGTGGAAATAAAGAACTCTTTGTAACAGGAATTCACATTTTAAAAAATAATACAAGTAATAAGACCTATATTCTAGCTTATTCTGTCCTGAGCTACTACTTTACTGCATATCTTGTCAGTATTTATCTTATCAGTATGAGACCATTCAAAGAATTTTTCAGATGTTGAGGAACACTCCTTACAAAAAATGTATTCATCTCTGACAGCTAACAAAACAGGTATTTGATATTCAGACTCTTTCAGTCATTTTTTGGAGGGGGCACAGGTTAACTATATTCTCAAATATGGTTTTTGAAAAGCCATAGATGTAATCAAATTTGAGAGCGATATTATTGTTGATCTAATTTTAATATACTTTTTGAGCAAAATATGAAATTTAAGGGATGCTTCAAACATTTTTCTGTCAGGACAAAGCAACATTCTCCCATTTGAAAACAAAACAGAAAAAACAAAAAAAACAAGATGATAAAAACAAAACCTAACCTCTCTTCTCAAAGCAAATGAATGGAGAGATAATTGGAGCAAGTTTGACATTTTTTTTTCCTTTTAAAATCTGAGTCCTGGAACCTATTGTCTAACATGATCAGCAAGATTAAGCCATGGCAATTGGCTATGGATCATGAATATCAGGTGGTTACATTCAGAATCGTTCTTTACTTCTGTTTCAAAATGCTAACCTCTGAATTGGTGCTGTTTTGGGGGGATTTACAAGCTTTAATAGAAAGGAAAGAGTGTCTAACCTCTTGTAACAATCACACACAAACACACCTGGGCCTGTTATAATTAAAACAAATGATAACCTGATTGGTTTTAACAAATTGAAAAATAGGATTTTTTCGTTAGAGATGGGAAATGACATGGTAAAGATAGTATTTTAAAAGTTTTCATGCTTATTTAGTTTCAACTGTTTAACATTTATACGTGCAGATAAAATAAGTTACTTTACATTATATGTTTCTTCCTTTAATATAATTTTTAACATAATTTTGCCTTGGTTATTTCTGACTAAACGTTTAAAGATACACTTCTAAGACCATGTAAGCTATGTTTAAAAAGTAAGATGAATGATTTTATGAACTAATGTTTCTATATTTTTCGATGAGTAAATTTTTATAATTTAAAAAATCGGGATAATAATTTAAAATGATTATTCAAATGCTTTAATATTAACAGATATTTTAGGAGGCTGTTTCTTAGTGTATTCCAATACCTCTGTTGGTGCTTTGGGGAAAATAATGATTCCTCTAATTTGTTACATATTAAGTAATTTCCTGACATGGATCCAATAAGAAATTAGACATTTTTGATATTTTGAGGGCAGGAATAGCACAGTTTGTATCTATCCTATGGAAAGCACAAAACTAATAGATTGTGAAATACAGAGCCTTGAAAACTGGGAATGTTGATTCTTATGCTGTAATTCCAAAGACAACAGTTGCGTCAGTAATTTCATCTTCCTTTTTTCATCCATTGCACTACAGTATCCAAACCAATCTTTTGAATCATGTTATTTATGAGTTATACTAACTAGTACACAAAATTCACTTTTAATCCATAGGACGGTTGTAAACAGATCAAAGCATATTTACATTATTTTGATCAACTATTAAATACAGGACTATTCTAAGCAAAACAAAAAATATTTTATAAATCTTGATTTCTTGATTTATCCATATTTTATTCATCTAACCTCATTTGACCATGTCATAGATTTTGAACGTAGAGAAGATACTCTTCGTGGACACAATATACTACATTCTTTGGTTTCTATATCGTGTCAGTAGGAACGATGGCATTTTGCAGCTAGAATTTAACTTTGTCTTTGCAAGAGAATTCAGCTCATTAAAATATCTCTGTGAGAAACTTACATTTTCCAGGCATGAATGGTGTTATCCAATTATTCATGTCTCTTCAGATCCCAGTTTTAGAGTTTTTCAAGTGGACTGTATCGTGTGCTATCGAGGCAGTGTCCTCTTCTAACATTACTGATTGAACAATAGTTTCTTAAGAATGGACAGGCTGTTTGGAATTTTATTTGGGCATTTGGCTTTCTAGGCTGGAGCCAATGATTTAGTCAATGCATACGTGTACACCTTTTTGGGTATAATTGGGAGACTAGGAGTTGCTAGCTCTTTTTTATGATTAATATACAATGTCCATGGCCCTCCTCTCATCATTTAATGTATGCATCAGATGGCAGAGTCTATCTGTGGAAGGCCTGGATTAAAGGCCATTGCTGCTTCTTTGCAGATAGTCTTTGTCTTATCTGAAACCTTTCTGCTTAAAATGCTGTAATACATGCTGTTTATTTACTTTTACCAAAGCCAAGTGTTTTTCTCTTAAAGCTTTTTCACTTTATTCCTAAGAGTATATGAGTATTTTTTTATATATAATATTTTCTTTTTATTATTAATTTATTACTATGTGCTATTTAGTGTATTTTGTGTGTCTGTGTGTGTCACCTGATAGAACACCATTAAATCTGTGTTCTTCTTTCCTCCTACTTGGTAAACAGAAGAGGTGCTAATATAAGACTGAAAGTGATTGTTCTTAAACTGTTCAACAGATTAATTTGAGTTGTACTCTCACCTTTTAAGGAGGTAAACCTTGCCTTTTGTTTCCTTGAATGTGATTAACTACAGGCATTTCGGGTATCTGCTGAGCAGAATAAGGACTACCATTTTATGGGAAGTAGTTGTCTAAAGATCAGAAATAATTACTTTGCACATTAGCCTTCATGACCTGCATGACCTGGTTAATTAATTTTTTGCTGGGATAATAATAATAGAAATATATTTGAAGATCTGCTTTCTCATTAAGTATCTAATTGACCTCTAATTTTAAGAGCTGGACCTTCCATTTATTGTCTTTTGGGGATGTCTAGAGCAGTCAGCCGAAGAGTGAGGAAGTCAGCAGCAGACTTCCAGTC